TCAATGGAAACGTCAGCTCAACTCATATCATTTGTGGGAAAATTCTATTTCTACCAGTCCTTCATCACCTAAAAATGAAATAAGGTGAATACATCTTATAACTGATTTACTGGTAATCACGAAAAACAATACTTAATTCGAAAAAATCATGCATAAATAGTTCCTACTAAACTTTCTACCACCGTTCCTCACATTCTATGTATTTCCTAAGCGATTAATTTCAATAGCCTCTCTTATCTTTCTTTTACTCGCAGCCGTGCCATAATCAGTAAACCTACCAATTTGAGACCATTATATTTCATGTCCAGTTTCTGCTATTGGTTCGGCCACTTCTGACAGTTGGATCCAGTTTCCTTTACAGGCATTTTTGTGTTCTTCCAATCTGTGTGGGCATGTTTCACCAAGGTAACATCTACCACATGAGCAAACAATCTTGTAGCAACTGAATCTCGACAATGGGTCATATTTCTCTGTAAAAGAGATCCGGCTGCTACAATATTGTTTGCTCATGTGATCGATCTTATGTTGGTGAGACATGCCGACCTATTCGATAAAGATTGGGGGAACACGAAAATGCTTGTAGAGGAAGCTGGGTCCAACCGTGAGACTTTTACAAAAGTGAGTTCCAGTTCTGATGATGTCCACCATATGATGGACAAAATCTCAGCCCGTTTTTCCCTGAAACAAGAGAGGTCTCGTGGACTGCGTCAACCTGAACGACTTGTAAAAGCCAAATGGCTGCAGTACAACGGGGCTCAGCCGTCCTTTTCTGATAAGATCGACCTACAAATCTCTTCTTCATGCATTTTCATACAAAATGAAAGTCCCCCCAACAATATTTATAGGAAGACATCAACGAACATCCTCCGAACTCTGTCCTCTGCCATAGTCGTCATGCGTTCTTCCAGCAAATCACCATTGACCGACAACATTGACAGAGATTTTGACAGCCTCATAGTAGGTTTTCAGTGTTGCTGCTTACTTATCATGCCCGACTACGAAGTCGGCGAAACGTCTTGGAATGTAATAATGATGGAAAAGCACAGGATACCATTGGCAATATGCGTAGTATGCGGTACGTTGTTTGTAATTTTCCTTAAAATACGCACAACATTAACATGTTCCTGGTTTGGGCTTCGGAAGAATCTCACAAGCAGCAATAGGTGGGGGTGTATCCAGGCCTCGAAATAAGCTTTCTGAAGACTCTGTATTGCAGAGTTTTACTAGCCGGTAGCACCTTTTAACTGGGATATTGGCCAAAAAGGTGCATTCGGAGCGTTAATAGGTCGGAGTGTCAAATTCAACCTAACTTTCCTAGTGAAACCTGTCAGAAACGATTCCCATCCTGGATTGACGTGTTCTGGGTGCCATGAGCATGACGACTAAGTAGGACCAGCACTTGGTAAACATTTCCCCTCTTGGATGTCATGGAGACTTCATAAAAACTTGGCGAATTTTTCAAATATATGAGATGTTCCCTATTTCATCTGCAACTGTAACAAGACAACTTATTGTCGGCCAATTCTTCGTTTGCCCAAGGGCGAATTGAATAGCTCGGGAACTTTTGGTATGATGATCGAGCGTCTCGACAGATCTTTCGCGTTGAATTTGCCCTTAGCACTGAGTGATAGGGACTGAGACGATGAGTCCGCCGTTTCGGAACTGTGCTGTGGCTCTACAACTGGAACCGTGGGGCTGGTAACCTCGGAAACGCCTATCAACGAAGGGAAGAGGCTGCCTTTACTGCCTGAAGTAAGAGCGGACAATCCACCCGCCTTAGAGTCGATGTCACCAAGGGTATTGCCCAGTTCACCCTGTGACCTTTTTGACAGTTCACCCATTATTGCCTCGGTGCTGCCCTCGAATTTCTGCTGGTCACTCGGCTTCTCGACAACTCCGACATTCTGACCTGGCGTCTTTTTGAATAGTCCCGACTGGGCAGTACACGTCGTCTGGCTCAAAGTCTGTTTTGTCGATCCAATCTGGTAGGTTTCAACAAACATTGTACTCTGACTCAAGCTGAGTCCACCTCCTCCAGTCATTGAACCTCCTCCGCCACCAGGCCCCCCCACTCCGCCAAGTCCGGAACCACCTCCACCGATTGCGCAGCCACTACCGCCACCGCTGCCGCCTCCTGCGCTGCCACTGAAAGCCTCCATCGCTTTCAGTATGGCGTCTTCATAGCGCGGCAGACGCTCCGGGGCCAGATTACGCAGACCCGACAAAATGTCGACAATCAACGATTTGTTCGCCTTGTTACGATCATGGAAGACGCGCAAACAGTCGGCGTACATGTAGGCCGGCAATCGCCGCCACTGTTTGGTTGAGCTAGCACGATGCCGTCCGGAAGAACTAACTTGCCCATCTTGTCTGCCAGCCTGCTTCTGTTGCAATGCCTCAGCCTCCTCCTGAAGATCGGTCAGATTGATGACAACAGCTCGTAAGATGTTGAAGAGGAGGTGGCGAGTCATCTCTTTGCGACGGAATATGCGACACTCGAAGAAGTTGAGCAGCCGTGGAGATGGGCAAGCGAAAAGGAGGTCGGCCAGAGTGTAGTAGAGCACAGCCAGTGTGCGATGCCCCACCTCGTGGTAGAGAAACTCGACCCTAGGGAAGTGGAAGGGTAGTGTTTGTGCTCTGGCAATCTCTAGATCGGTGTGACGCTCCTTTGCCTCACGATAGCCCTCCACATATGTCTCCCAAGGCACCATTAGCAGAGCGACCACGCGGATGAGTCCAGCCATCAGCTCCTCGAGGCCGGGCACCATCTGGAAACGAAGGATGCGAGCCACCACGCAGAGGGTGTAGCAGGCCTCTTCAATCACCTCACGACTCTCACTGTTCAGGCAGAAAGAGATGCTCCGATTGAACGACTCCACATTTCGAGCTATGAAACCGGTGACCGCTTCGGTGTGTTCGGCCTCTTGAATGGCGCGTCTGAAAAAGGTTAAAATGTCAACACGGACTCCCTTGGTTCTGACGCTAGTGTCATGTTGTGTCAAGGGGTCAAGAAGACAGGAGAGACGCTCCATGAGCGCTTGTTCAATGTTGGCCTCTTTAAATCGGCCCAGTTGTTCCCCTGGCAACAGGCGAATGAGAAAATTCTGCAATGGATAGCAGATCGTCTTCGGCAGGCTGTCGAGCACACAATTGCTTGTACTTGAAGTCAAATCGTTCAGAAAGCCAGTAACTTTGGCTTGACTTCGCGCAATGCATCGTTTTCTCGCCTCCACAAATGTTTCATATGTGATTATGTGCTTGGGCGAAAGGGAAACTCTGTGCGGGTTCATAAAGGTAAATCGCCCAGCCTCATCTGAGTCTACAATCCTCAGTAGAAATGCTTCACAAGCCTGCGAGGCCCTACTACGGACGATTCTGCTCCTGACAGCCTCCTGCCTTCTGACGAATTCCGAGAAGTCTTCGAATGCGTCTTTTGAATGGTCATATTGATCGTCTACGTCCAATCGGACGGAAATGTAAAACAAGAGCAAACACGAGTGTCAGAGAAAAGCATAATCTGACAAACGGAAGCCGGGGAGCATTGAGAACGGAGAGCGCAGATGGGTTCTGTTGTTGCTAATCAAGATGATGATTATATGAGTTGTTTCTAAGGTGTATGTCTCAATATACAATTGCCATAAAAAGCAGGGAAATTTCAACGAAACTGATGAGAGTAAGAATTATTGCACTTCGTCGCCAATTGAATAGTTCTTGTTAATAACGGCGCGAAAAACATACGATATCGCGTGCACATATAAATACATTTTTTTCAAAGACGAATTGCCAACAGACCAGACCATGTGAACTGCTCTATACTATTCTAGGGAAGATGGGTCAGAA